TAGTACTGTCGTGACCATAACTGTAGTTTCCTTAGACCTATAAGAAAGATATTTGTGATATTTCCTTAGGGTTATACTATAACACTATAACATTTTTTTTTTAAAAAAATCCTAAGGACAGTACAGACAATTACAACTATGACTATTATTGCTATCATGACTACTACTATTATCCTACACCCTAAACCCTAAACCCTATCATGACAATTATTTCTAGCATGACTCCTCTTAAGTCTCCGGCAAAGGCCCGAATTACAGATGCCAGGCTTAGGGTTTTCAGAGTTAGTTTTTGGGGGCTACAGAAGGATCTATGGTTTTAGGGTTTAGGGTAGAAGGATCTATGGGTGGGTCATTGTCCATTGGGAAGATGGAGAAACATTTTGGAGTTGCCTAGGCTCCAATGGGGCATGTCACGGCAGCCTGCACCCTAAGGGATTCTGAGTTGATACAACTGTCCCTCGCCCTTGACAGGGGACTCTCTCAACATCATCCCGCCGTATACTCCCTGCGAATGATCCCCCCTTATAGATGCCACATATCCACCGGATTCTCTTTGGAAAGAAATCTTGCGAGTTTCCAAAACTAGGGCCCATGTCTCACACCAGAATACCGAGTGAAGCATTTATAGTTGGTGACCCAAGGGCGCATCGTTTTCAGAGAAACCCAGACGGGACCTCAGAATAAGATCTATTCAAGCAACTTTCGCTCGATTCTTGCCTTTCGCATCCATCACCCCGAGCCCAAAAGAGGCCTCAAACCAAACCTCTAACCCCTAAACCTGTAATCCGAAGCCCTACACCACATAAACTCCGGCTTTCATCCCTTCACTGCGATCTGTATAGGGGTTATATGGGGATATGTTGGGATAATGGAGAAGAAAACGGAAACTACTATAGTATAATAGGGTTATATAACGGATAATATTGGGATAATGGAAAACAAAATGGAAACTACCATTTAGGGTACAAACCCTGAACCCTAAACCCTAAACCCTAAACCCCTAAACCCTTAACCCCTAAACCCTAAACCCTGACCCCTAAACCCAAAACAATCGGAGCTCACTGGCGCAAGGAGCCTTCCAAGCTGTCGTTGGACTTTGGGCTAAAAAAGCCTGGGGGAAAAAACTCGGACCCAGGACCTTAGTGAAGCAAGAAATATAATGGGGTTTAGGGTTTAGGGGTTTAGGGTTTAGGGGTTATACTATAGTATGGTATAGCATATTTCAGGATAGTATAATATCTCATAGTATACTGAAGGGTCTGTTGCGCCAAGGGTTTAAAGAACAGTTGCGACAGACAGCACTGGAATCCGACCACTGGATGACTATTGCAGCATTACAGACATCTCGCACCTCTGGTCAAGGGCTTCTGATCAATGATTGCGGATGCAAGAGATTATGTTCGCGCACGCATACCCAAAGGGGAAGTAGGGCTCAAATAACTAGGATCATGTCGCACCGGTTCTCCTGTCAAAGTTTTGGCTCAAGTTGATTGGATGTACGCAGGGCATGAATGAAGCAAGTTCCAAGTTAAAGGCACTTGATTAGATCTTCTGTTTGCTTCATGCATGACTCGCAGTAGGACACCTGGCAGAAGGATAACGCCAAAGTTGAATGATGGCAACGCCACGAAACGCCAAGAGCCCGTAGGCATGATCCCAGTCAGACTGATACAAAAACATAGCCTACAGCACGCGGTTCAAGCTCTGAGCACCCTACCCGAAAGTGCACCCGACTGTTTGCTGCGATCGAAAAGTTTGGTGGGCGTGTGCACAAGCTCTGGCTGCTCCAAGTGAAATCTTTGTGAACAAAGCTGCCGCAATGTGTAGACCTGCCATGGAGAAAGGTCGTAAGCTCACTGCAGGCTCTTACTGTCTTGCACTAGCGAACACGCATTCCCAACGGTGGACTACTTGGTCTCCACATGGGCTTCTTGCACAGCCACGAAAGGAAAGGACATATATCTGCCAGGCTTTAATGGCGACAGCATACAGCAACATTCAAGACAATCTGATGCTTGCAAATGATACTGGCCTTTGCTGGCTTCCCCTTCTTGTTCATGAGAAATGCTGCGGGCTGCGTAGAGCTTGGGTCGACCTGGACAAAAACAAAAAAGCCGTGTTTCATTTATCCGTTCAACCTGAAACTTAAAACCAACTCCCCCTTCTTCCAGCGTTCCCTGCAGCGGATCTAGGAAAAACAACATCATGGAAGATCGATAGGAGGGGTGGGGGCTTGCCCTTCGACTTCTCTCAGCATTAGCTAGTTATGTCTGCCTTTACGCCCCTCGTATGAAGCTAAACGACGACTGAAGTGACTAAATTGCTTGCCGGGCTTCGACACTCATTGTGCGGATCGCGCTGCAGAAGGCAATACCGTGTACCTGCTGGGATGGCTCTACTCTAGCTGACGCTAGTTAGGATAATGGCTCAGAAGTCTATCTACCCGTTGCGACTTGTGACATGCTACGACTGGCTTACTCTCACTTCCTGGACAAGCTAGTGCCAAGGCCATGCTTGTCATCTTGGTTGATAAAATCCCGTAGATTCAGGCTATGTTTTTGGGTCAAATTAGGAGTTCAAGCTTTGAAGGCAGAGGCAGCTTTGGGCCCAAAAAACTCGAGATTCAAGTAGACTATTCCCAGAGCCTTGAAACATGCTAAGGTTTCGGTTGGAGGTTTAATTTCAAAACGCTGAAATTCACTCTCATTACATTAGAACCACGATGCTACCCAATCAAAGCCTACCTACTAAACATCAATTAAAACTAGCCGAATGGAATTAGTCTAATTGAAAACCTTTCGAAATCTATAGCGGTCAGCATGATTTACTTTTCTATTTGGGATCTGACATTTCTAGAATAATGGAGCTGGGCTATTATTCTTGGAGGGGCTGGGGGCACCCCTTTCGGTGGATTAAGCACAATGCGCACCCGGCCTTTGGGAAAAAGCTACGCCGTTCTGGTTGAGATGAGATGGAGCTGAAACCGAAATTTTCGGCAGCAGGCGTCTCTTTATTACCACCTGCTATGCGTGGCAATGCAGGGCCTATGGCGCTGCGGGTTGCCCCCTGCCCGCTAAACCAGACCGCTGGAGACGCCTGCCCAACTCACAACCGGGTGAAACACTGAGCAACCTGAGACCAGCCGAGTCCGCAAACTGGCTGCAGCTTTGCCCTTGAGCCAACATTGCGACGGCGACAGATGGTGTGGCTGCGCTTAGCCGACACCGGCCACAACACAATGGCAGGGTTGCTTCACCATTTGGACTTCAAAAAAGCCCTTCCCTCCATGCCACGAATTTGTCACGCCTCATTGCTTGACACAACGAGTCTGAAGCAGCAGGCTGCACGAAAGCCCGCAGGAGTGAAACAGCTGCAGCATGCATACGGCAAGCTTGCCGAGCATCCTGTAAAATCCACTCTGATCAAACATCATGTCTCAACAGCGAAAGCAAAAAGTGTTGTAGTTACATGACCCTCCATGCCGGGTATGTTTCAGCAAGTGCTCAAAAGCAAGCATGGGCCCTCTCTACGAATTGAAAACGGCACAGCGAATTCGCGAGTCTTCAACGAATGCGTGGCTTATGTTATAGATATCCAGCAGAAGCTGAGCTTCTTTGCTGGAACTTCTCTGAGAAGAGGGAGGCAACCACAGAACGTTCTGAAGCAGGCCAGCAGCTACGGCAAAGGATTTGGAGTTTATTTTTTTTCCATATCAAATCCTTGAAACGTGTGGTGCTCCCTGAGTTCCTCAGGAATTTGTAGGCCCCCACTGCTTGGTATCTAGTATCCTGTTAGGAGTGAGGCCATGCTTGACATGTGAGCTATAGTCTAAGCTTCTAGTATCCCCCTGAATAAGCTCTATCATAGGAATGCTGTATAGTCCCCTGTATACCACATTCGCAGCAGGGGGGCCACAAAGTTCCCAGAATAAGTCTAGTAGTGCTGAACCCCGGAGGCTGATCGAAACAGCGGCCGGAGCTTCTCCGAAAGTACCGCCCGCAGTCGCGTGGGGGATTTCTGAAAAATCTGAGCCCCGCTTCCAAAAGCACCCTTCGTGATCCCGTTGTCATCTCTATTTCTATCTGCCTGGGGAACCCCCTTGATAAGAGGGCGCTGAGTTCGGAGACAATTGCTTGCTATCTTTTTGCCATGGCTTTGCTCGGATTATCAGGGGGTCACAAAGCAGAGATTCTACAGTGTGCCATCAGAGTCCTGCATAAGGCCCATTTGCTTGGTCACATATCGCCGCCATGTGTCAAATTGCTGTAACTTAGACTCGCTGTGGAGTTTACAAAGGTCATTGAACCCCCTTCCCTGCTGGCACCATTGCTAGGGGACAATGCGTAGCATCGTCAGTACCTTCTCGCCATACTATACCTCACGACACTGGTCATGACTGCTGCTTGTTACTGATGGCGCGTAGTGATACTGTTATCTTAACCATAGAGTTGCTCTTCTTTTTCATTCCCTTCCTGGACTCACACCAATTTCTATGACTAGCTAAACGTATTACTATGACTCATTTGGCTGTTGGTTTCCCTAGTATTGCTACGAGCACATGCGACATTTGCGCCTCCATGCGACTGCTGAGAGAGGAAGGAAAACAAGTGGCCGCTTCTGCGAGGGGATCCTTTGGCGGGGTTGGCGATGAGAACACCTACTTGGACTAGCTTCCACTCAAATGTTGCTCGCGAAGCTGAACGTAAGCGTAAGTCACTTGCGACTGGCAATTAGCAGTGTTAGCCCGACACACAGAAGAGGGCCATTGGTGCATGTTCCTTTGGGCGCCTGAAGGCTGCCCGGGAACACGACAGAAAAAGGACCGACTAAATGGCTGAGGATCGCTTCACTTGCGGTGCTGCCAAACAATCTCAAAACACCGGTTGCGCGTGCTCCACAAGGAGGAGCTGAAGTCTACAAACCTTGTCCAGGCAATTTGCAATGAGGCAGCTTGAAAGCGTCCATAATTGCCGATTCTCGGCATTCTCAAGGCTTGGAGTTCACTTCTTCTTCTTGCCGCCCTCCTCCTCGTCGTCGTCGTCATCATCGTCGTCCTCGCCTTCATCCTCGCTTTTGATGGGAAACTCCAGCCGGAACTCTAACTTTTCGGCCACTTTTGTTGCGAAATCGCCTAGGTTCCACGAGGCTGCATTTCCACAAGCTTATGACATCAGAAAATGTGGAGTCGGCGATTGCGGGTTGGTCTGAAGCTTTCATACAGACTCACGGGACACCATGTGGACAGGATTCGGCACGCTTAGGTTTTGCAACCAGTTACGCTGAGCTACACTGGATTGCGCCAAGCTTTCTGGCTCTCATGGTGCCAAACTACTCATAGGGCGTACCCATAAGAACATCAAGTTTTGTTGGCTTGGCTCCAGTAAGAGTATTGCTCTAGGCTTAAGACCGGCTGCAGGTCTCCGTCCGGAGCTTCAAGCATGAAGACTGGGCTACGAAAGACAAGCTTCACGTGCTCTCCAACATGCAGCTGATAGCAATCCCCATGATGCAAATCTAAGCTTCCCATGGTGGAATTGTGCATCGGTCACTCTGCATCATTTTAACCGCTGCTACTTTGCTCTGCTTTGTGCTCAGCAGCCCTTACCCAAACTTTTCTCAAGGACCACGAAAAGGTTTCAAAGCGAACCAGAACTGCGAACCGCGTTTACCAAAGTCAATTCATAGGGCAACGAAAATGAGAGCCTATCCAGCTTTCTTACAGGTTAGATTTGCTGCTTGCATTCAAGGTGCGATACTCAGCGATGAAAGCAGCAAGGTCAATGCCTTTGGCAGTTCCTTTTAGGCGTTCAACGCCTTTGACTAGCTCTTCCTTAGATAGCACAAGTGCTGGCCGCAAGCACGTGGACGCGCGAGGTAAAGCGGGTATCTCCAAACAGGTCACCCCGAAGCATGCGCATGAGAATACCGTCCTTAATCTCGAACCTTCTGCAGAGGGGCCTATAATTTGAAAAAGTCCTCAACGCGGGCCATTTTTGCAGTCCTGAAATCCAGGATTCCGGGAACAACGCATGTGGAAGTACCCGAACAAGAGTCGCCAAAATTTCCGCAAACACCCATGTCTTAGGTTGAGCCCCACCCACGGATAGTGCCGAAAAGGAATAATGGAGACTGAGATTCGGGCGCCTCTATGTGCATATGTATATATATATATATACATTTTTAGGTGTGTATGTATTCCTGTTCCACACGTATGACTACTCTAAACCCTGAACCCGTATTCCTGCTCTATGACTGGGGTGAGAACCTAGCCCAATCTGATAGTTTCCAGAAATAGGAAGAACCGAATAGACACCCTCAAAGACTATAATCCTTCTTGAAGGGAACCCAAATGGTACCCCCGATTTGACGAAACCCTAAAGCCTATAACCCCTATATAGGGTCCCTCGATATATGTATACATCTTCCTGTCATACATCTGTCACTGGGTGGGGGCCTAGAGCCTGAACCTTGAAACCCCCAAACCTTAAACCCGATACCCTAAACCCCGAAAACTTAAACCCAATACTCTATACTCCAAACCCCGTATAGTCCCACTTAAGTAGATAGAATATCCCTTTGTGTATATTATAATAAGATCCCCATATACCGGATATTCTGTCTACTTAAGGGGGACTATAACCCTATGGAACCCAACCCATCTCACACAAGGAAAAACTGAGTAGTGCTCTTTTTGGTGGTTGAACCTAGTAAGATTATATTCCTTATATGAAATACTATACCCCAAAAGGAGGATAGAATCTTACTCTATAATGGGTACTATAGTATCCCCAAACAAAAGACTACTCAACTGAGGCCGCGAACAGCCGTGAGCTCGGCGTCTCCATCGTCTAGCAAACTGAACAGCATGTTTGGGTCCTGAGCTGGTTTACGTGTTATGTGGGCGGCTGTCAAAATTATGGTCCATTTTTGGGTACCCTAAATGTTAGGTGCCGTATTATAATAGGGATCCAAAGAGGGACACCCATGTGGGTTCAGGGCTTGGGGTTGTATAGGGGTTATGTAGGGGCTTAAGGGTTAAGAATTACGGCTGATTAAGGGCTTAGGTTTTGGGTCCTGAGCGGCAGCTAGGAGGTTTCCCAGACTTCGCTCGTTTGTTTACCTCCTAAACTTGTAGCTAGTTCTAAGGGTTTCGTGGCCTAGGGGCCCGCGAGCGAAACGTGAGAAAAGTGCTGGGAGTTGCGTCAAAGGGATTTTGCCGTAAGGTTAGTGGTGAAGTCTCGCTTAGGACTTAGGAGGATAAGAACAAATGGATTGCTCCGGCAACCTTTGTATGTCATGAGACGCGTGGCAGCTTAAAAATTGAGATGATGTGTATTTTTGGAAGTCCGCTCATGTACCTATAGAACACAAACCAAGCCCATGATCAGGGAATCTGATCTTCGACTCTCTCAACAAACAATTTCAATCTTCATCCCCTACAAAACTCCGTACAAAACTCCGGAACCCTAACAAACCACGGTGACCTCAGAAACCAAAGATAAGGTACCTTCCACAACGTAGGGCCCTGTATTCAGGGTTATATGGGGTGTCTAGTTTTTGTAGGGGTTATCTCCGGATAATGGACAAGAAAATGGAAACTACTATTTGAGGTTATAAAGGGGTTAAGCGAAGGGCTCATATAGGGATCCCTACTGGACGGACGCCACGCAAAGAAAGGGATTCCAATTTTCAGTTCTCTATAACCTCAATGATTCAATATCCATTTCATTATCCATGTCCCCACAAAATCCGATATACTCCTATGAAACCCTTACAATACTGTGTGCTATTATCCGAACTCCTAGCATCCGCCACAATACCCCCTAATACTCCCCTATATAATCACCATATAGGTCCTATATGACCCTCCCCACCCTTCAAGGATGTTAGACTATAGCTCATATAACACTGTGTAAATCCTTGCATAGCCTGTATGAATAGACTGGACGACTGCTGGCGGAACACACGAACGGGAAGCTCTTGAGCTGCCAACCAGGTCCTGAAGCAAAGGACACATAGGTTTGGGTTTAGGGCTGGCAGAACCTAGTACGACTATGTTGTTCTGATGAGGTACCATACCCAAACGGATGATATAGTCTTATTCTGCATTGGGGAGTATAGTATCCCCACTGAAACTACTACTCAAAGGGGGGAAGAAAGCTCTCAGAAATTGGGGTAACCCCACAGAACCTGTCCGACATGTAGCGGGATTTCTGCGGATCCCGATGAAGGATAGTGTGTATTTAGCGTTGTCTGCAGGGTTCCAATACCTGTAAAGAATGCCAGCACAGCTGTTGGAATCACTGCTTCTGAGCGGAAAAAGCATGCCCATGCAGCATCATGACCACTGCATCGCATGCATGCATGTGTTGTATGTATGCACGTATCTACGAATACACTTATTCGCGTATGCATGTACGTACGTATGTACGCACGTACGTACGTACGTACGTACGTATGTATGTATGTATGTATACACGGGTGTATATATGTCTGTCTGTCTGCCTGTGTGTGTGTGTATGCATGCATGTATGTACGTATGTATGTACGTATGTATGCATGCAGGGATGGACGGACGGATGGACGGACGAACGCAGGGATGGATGGATGGATGGATGGATGGATGGATGGATGGATGGATGGATGGACGGATGCATGTATCGATGCAAGTATGGACGCATGGCTGCATCGATGTATGTAGGTAGGCACGTACGTAGGCAGGTCTGTATGTACGCATGTACGCATATGTTATATACATATGGAAAATTTCTGCGTGTTTCAATTTGCCCCTATCCAAATGCATTGCGGCATCATCATCTATGAGTCCATATCTTTTGCAAAGCCCGGAGCCACGGATCCCTCAAAGGGATCCCTGCCCTGGAACGCGCCAAGAAGATTGAGAAGCTTCACAACCGCACCAGAACTCCAATCAAGTGCAAAAGCCGCCACGGCCCTCTTTTCTTACAGGCTCCCTCTACAATCCTTCAGGGGGGTCCCTAGAAACTGACTGTGACTATGATCATGATTGTCTTCTAAGGATTCCTCAGGCACAGCTGACCCCGGTGCTCACAAGCACATGGACAGGTCCTGACTTCAGGGATGTTCATGATTTCGCAGAATTCGTCACGGTCCTAGGCTGAGCATTCCCGGCTCGAAGCACTGTCCCTCGAAACCAGCACCTACATGCGTCATGCAGAGCAGGGATCCTACTAGACATGGGAGTGCATCTGTCATAGCATCTGACGTTCGAAAATCTCTTCGCCTGTCTTCACGGATTTGGCCTTTTCTACCTAATCGTTCCAGCCGTCGCGAGCGAGCGGCGATGAAGCCATCACCGGATTCATCTGCTGCGGCAAACAATGTCCTCATCTTCTTGGTGTGCAGCGAACGATCTCGCTCCTCACCGCAGTTTCTTGGAGTCGCGTCTTTAGGACAAATTAGTGCCTTCCTTCCATCACAAACACAGGTATATACAAATCTAGAGGTTTACAAGCCTTGCTCCGACTGCCGATATACTGTCGGTCGTGTGACAAGCAAAAAGGCAGAATGAACAGAAATGCAGGTGTACCATGTCCTTCTGGCGCATCATCAACTTGTCATCTGATGCCGCCACCTTGAAGGTCTCTTGCCTGCGGTTTAGGGTTTAGGGTTTAGGGTTTGGGGCGTAGGGCCTAAGGGTTTCGGGTTTAGGTTTAGGGATGAGACTTGCCACGGAAGCAAATTCCCGGCCCGCTCCCATTTCTCCCTGCCAAGGTGCATGAAGACACCATTGATGATTCCAACGGCCGCAAAGCCAACAATCAGCTTGTAAGCTACCGAGAATATGGAGTACCACTCCTGGTTTCCGAATTCGACTTTGCATGTCATGTCCCCGTCTCCAACACGCGTTATGGATTTCATGTTCTTTTCAGGCAAGAGATCCCAAGTAGGAACACTGCTTGCTTCCCAGGAACAGTTACATTTTCCTGCAAAATTCGCGCGGCTGTCGGCCAATTCCTGTCATTTTGCGGAAAGTAAAAGTATATGGCAGTCCGGCACCTCTTGGGTGATGGGTTCACAGGCATTGGCCATTCTTCGAAGAATGCAGACTAGGTGCGCCAAGGTCAGCTCAAACATGGTGAGCATAACCCTAGCCGTAGTGCCGAAGTACTCGAACACTTCCAGCTTCTCCGATGACTTGGATGGGTGAGATTCCCGCTATGTTGGCATTAAGGTGCGGAGCAAAAAAAAACATGCTGCAAGACCTGACTGCGATTACGGCTGCTACCGCTTCCAGCACCATTCTGTTCACAGCAATGGCAGGTCTGCAAGCTGAACTACATGGTGTGGTGACATAGACGGTCCCTCGCCTTCCTACAAAAAGTCTACCTTGTCGTGATTTTATATGGCAGGTAGTCCTCTTACCTGTTCCACAGTATTTAATGAATCCTAACGCAGTCCCTGCTTTCCCTGAAAGAGGATTCCCGAACATCCTGCTGTGGATCAGACCCCATAGAACAGATGGCCTCTCTGTACCAGTCATACTTCACAAGTTTAGTGGCAGGTCTAAACTAAACCCTAAACCCTATAATCCCCTATATAAACCCAGTTTCCATTTCATTTTCCATTTTCTTTTCCATTTGATTCTCCATTATAGTTGGTACCCGGAATTGCAAGCTTAGTGGCAGGTTTAGACTCATCCGCGAAGTAAACCTCCAAAGATTCGTTTAGGAAGAATGCGATCATCACTTGCACTGTAGTGAGCAACCTTGGCCGGCCAAAATGGGTTTAGGGTCTAAACTCCTAGTATCCTGCTTAATCACCCTAGGTCCAGGGTTTAGGGTCTAAGCTCCTAGCATCCCTCTTCATAACCCCCATAGTAGTCCCCTATATAATTCCCTAAATAGCGGAGTTTAAACTCTAGCTCGAACCTTGGCTACCTCATATCCAAAATTCCCTGGCATCTCAAAGGCTTCCATGATGCGCCTTGTTCCCACCGTCTCTGCAAGTTAGACTGATTCCCTTTCAAGGCTCATTAGACTTCACCTCCTCGTCATGTTGTCAAGAAGAGTCTTGACAATCCCTCAGGCGACGGGGGGGGGGGGGGCCTCACATCAAGCAACCTTCTTGAAGGACCCAAGAAAATGAAGTCCCTGCTAAGGGGCTAGGGGGTCATATAAGGGCTTATACTAGAGGATTCTGTTGGGGTTTACATAGGGGTTATGTTGGGGGTGATGATGTCACCCTGCATATATCTCCAAGAGGCATGAAGGACCAAAACAAGCATGTGGCGCTGCCCTGCATGGCCGTGGTCATGATGTACAGCGCATCGAAACCTGCTGCCGGGCACTCGAAAAGAAAAACAGCAACATAGCTGCTACATACTTTGCCACAAGACTGGCTGCTGAACCCTGAGCCTTAAAGCCTAGGGTTTAGGGTCAACCCACCCAACTTGAATGAGAATCCCGACCACTGAGCTGACGGATTTGGCTGGATGCCGCTTTCCCTATGAGTGAGCTCATACAAAATCGCAGTTAATCCTTGTTACCATTACTTGTTTTTACTACCAGAATTTTTAGTACGATTATCATGGCTATTACCATTTCTATTGCTATCAGTATTCCCATAACTATTTCTAATATTGTTACTATGACTACTAATTGCTATGTTCACTACTCCTATTAGTTGCATGGCTAGTTTTAGAAGTACCCTGGTTTGTAGCAACTCCCGGCTACGGCAAACTGCTATACAGGCTCTCGCGTCGTCTCGCCTTTCTAAGGTTAGGGACAGCTAAGGGTACATATATGGTAGATATGTAAGGATTCCCAGGTTCAGAGCCCATACTAGGGACACATGGTTTTGACCTTAGAGCCTTGTATCGTCTTGACTAGCCGGATGAGCCGTAGTAGTCGAGCCATGCGCATCATGCCTCAGCAGCGCGCACTGCAAATCTACCGCTGTTTGTAGAATTATTCCTGCGCACTGCCTTCGTGCCGACAAGCTTCGCAGAACTGCAGGCTCCAGTCTTATCACAGATTGGAGTGCGACCTCAACGAGCCACATCAGGACGATCGCTCCATCGAACCAATTCCACCATTCCTTGCTCATGGGCTTGCTGAGCTTTGTGGGCATCAGCCAAACTACAAATGACCGAAAACGGCTTGAAATCCTGAACCAAATGTCCGGGCTCATCAAGGCGCACTTCATCACTAGACTCTTGCATGCATCCAAGCAACAAGAAAGAATCGTTTCTTGAAGCCAATCAATTTGATGATCAGCTCCAGGCAGTATGTAATGCCAAACAACCAATCCTTGAGAGAGGAATTGGAGCATCGTTTATGGAATGATGATTGGCACTTTGCGAAACAGTTCCAAGGCTAGCTAGCACCAGAAACCGTTCCTCCAGGCAGTGTGGCCATGCTTTGAACTGACTTGCCATCTGGAGTTTCCTAGTAGCATTTGCACTACCAGAAGACATTCAAATCCTGCACACATGTACGCAAACACATACACGCATGCGCATACACACACATAAACAGATGCCTCTCTCCAGAGATCTACATGTGTATTGTACGCGCTTAAGTAGCTGCGAGTTCCTCAACTCATGGTTCAGGCAGGTCACCAAGAAGGCAAAGATGACGGGCGCTTGCGGCCAGTACTCGCCTTCAGCCAACAAATTACTTCCGTCTGTGAAGCAGGAACGTATAGGAATGCGATCTTCTCAAAAGGGCTCACACAAACAGTTTTGAGTACAACTTAACATGGTAGTTTCCCTAAATTACTGTTCCCAAATTGGGGGGAAATTTATATAGGGCCCCGTATTATAATGGGAACCCAAATATAGGACCCCGTATTATAGGGAATTTAGACCAATCCCCACATGGAACGGACGTTCCAGGGGAGAGCCTCACGTCGAAAGGACCTGCGGAAGGTTCACAGATTTCAAGCTCCAAGGGCAGACTGCAAGTTTCTGCCAAGATACTAGCATCATACGTGAAATGTGGGGCACCCAGGATGTACCCCCGATTCAGGCCGTTGTACTGCATCTGCAGCGCCATCCTTAGTTGGAGTTGACAGGTCTGGGGGCTTCCCAAACTTGGGGTTATATAGGGGTTGTATAGAGACAGTGGAGAGAGAGAGAGAGAGAGAGAGAGAGAAAGAGAGGAAAGAGAGAGGGTCCCAGTAGTAAGGATTATAGTGTTTTGGGTCTATATTGGGTTCCCCCTGTTTTGGGAAGCTACCATCTGGGACCTTCTCTTCTGGCAGCTGCACCCGACCATGAATCCTTCTTTCTACTTTCTGCTTTGGTTAGGATTTGTTGGGCTGTGCAGCTATACATCAAAGCGGCTACCTGCCTATGCCACAAGTACCAGCACATTCAGTGTTGGCATTCGGAGTTCTCAACTTTGCCCCTGCAAGTGCTCACAGCCCAAAATGCTTGCTAAAACAGATTGAGGCTAGCAGAGCAAGCAAGACTTGATATGGGTTGATAATGTGTAAGGCTTTGGTTACCGTAATATGGGTATATAGTAAATACTAAGGTTTGCAGCAACAGCTATGCCTACGCCTTCAAGCCCGTTCCATTTCGCCGTTATCCAGGCGACTCGGGATCATGGAGACTGCTGCCAAGTTTCACAACAGTGTTGGCTAAGATGACTCCACAGAACAGGGCATCAAACTGTGTCGTATGAACGTACCGTCCTGCAAAAGCAGGCGGTTCTCAAAAAACGGGGATGGCTCCTCTGGACACATACGGACATAGGGATAATGGAAAAGAAATGGAAACTACCATAGCATATTGGAGGTTATATACGGATAATGGAAAAGCAAATGGCAACTCCGCTATCGTATAGTGGTGTTATAATATATAAGAATAATGGCAAAGAAAACGGAAACTACCGGGTTACATAGGGATAATGGAAAGAGAAAATGGAAACTACTACATAGTTTTACATTCGACCGAATTGCTCAGGAGCTCTATGGGTCTGAAGGAGTCTAAACCCTAAAGCCTAAACCCCTTAACCCATTCTTTTGCCATCCTGCTCAGCTGCCTAAACTCGGGGTTTAGGGTTTGCATGGGGAATATACTGGGTTATATGAGCTATAATCTAAACTCCTAGTATCCCCGCTTATTTGCCCGTGTAATACTCCCCCAGATCATCTCCTTCTACAACCCTCTTTCAGGAATTTAGATTATGGCTCATATAGGGTTACATAGGGGAAAAGAAGATGGAAACTAAACCCGGGGTCCTGGATGCCAAAAGGGAAGCTCCTTTAGACCCTCCAGGAGACTGTTCTTCCGGAGGTGCGGGATGGTCTGGGTCATACCTTTTAAGAGAATTCTGGGTTTAGGGTTCAGGGTTAGGGTCACTGGGTTATATAGGGGCTTAGATAACGGTTATATGTGTGTAAATATATATATATATGTAGAGGGGCTATATTGGGATAATGGAAAAGAAAATCGAAACTGCTATTCAGGGTTTAGGGTAGTCACCAGGTGGGTACTCTTACACAAGGCTTATGTAACGGGGAAACTAGCCACAGGACACTTCCTCACATACCTTGGCACGGAGGAGGGCTGGACTCACAGTTAAAGGTTTTGAAGATGGTACAGGGGAAGGGACTGTTCGTCGGTATTTAGCAATGACAGTACCGGGAAATTGAGGTACAGGGATAGCCACGGGATATTGAAATTCTGGATGCCACTTCTTGTAAAGATCCAGGTTCCGGGGCATGCGTGGGAGACCATACTTCTAAGCGGTCCAGGCAGCACATGAGCCCATAGAAGAATCAATCGACCACAATTCGAAGCAAACGAAACTCCCCTCCGTTCTAAAATGCTCCTTTTAAGCCCGTGCGCCCGAGGCCTACATGACATTACAGTATTTTACAAGTAGAAAAAACATTTAGGGACTCATGGCGCCGATGACAACAAAGCCCCTTTCCAAAAGCTTGAAGCCTATAAGCAACTTTGCTTCCTGCGAAAGCTTTCAGACAGCTGCCCACTTGAAGAGTACCCCTACATTTCTTGTTCTGGCAGCCTGATCCCTAAACCCTAAATCCCAAACCCTAAGCCGTGAATCCTAAACCCCAAATCCTAAACCCCAAACCCTGAATCCCAAACCCTGAATTCTAAACCCTAAACCCTTCTGCATGAATCCTAAGCCCTAAGCCCTAAATCCTAAGCCCTACACTCCAGGGTAGACATCCCTCTGGGGCTGTCAAGGTGCGGCTGCTAGCCACACTAATGGCCCCTTTGCTTTTGCTCGGGTCTCCGGCTTCGGACCTGCCCAAAGACCCAGCCTTGGCAAGCGCGGGATGGCTAGAATGGTTTAGGGTTAAAGATTTAGAATGGTTTAGGGTTAAGGGCGAAGGGTTTAGGGTCTGGGACGTGCAACGGTCTCAGCAGGCACCAGGGTCGAGGGTTTAGGTGTAAGGGGGTTCTATAACAGGGGATTATTTACAGGATTATTTTTAAAGGGTGATACTATCATTCTGCGACGTTATCTCTAGGTACTAGCATCTGCACGATTGGAAAGGCTGTCATGCCAGGCCTTGCTGTGAAGTCGCAGGGGTGCCGAGAGCACTACCACGAATGCTTCTTCTTTAGTTGCGACTACGGCAGTCAACATTCACTGTAGCCGCTGCTCCTACTTTTGCGTGTCGTGTCTCCTGGCGGGCCTACTTCTGGGCAGAATCTTCGGGGTGTCCATGGTACCACTGAGTTCTGCAGCCGGGCGACTGACTTTGACCTTTTCATGTCCGGCTCACTGAAAGCTATGGACCTTTCTGGTGGTGGCAGGCTCGAAGTCAGAACGACTGGCGGCTCCTTAAGCAGAGCAAGAGAAGATTCAAGGAAAGGATCGCTATGGTCTCAAGCAAAGCACATGCTGCTGCCCATGGCCACGCTGCGATGCCCGCGTCGACATGGAGCAATGTCATACGGGTTAGCAAGAGCGCAAATTAAATGATCTTTGGACGAATAAAGTCTGAGGCTGTGCCTGGCCCGGCTATGAACTGAAGTCAGAAACACTGCATGCTGCTGTGTTACATCGCCAACCGACTTTGCGTCAGTGTCATCTGTCAACGATACCTTGGTGCCGACGGCTACTCAGTAGTGTACACCGGCCTAACGCTGTCACATCATGCCAAAGCCTGTGCAAAGATGTGGCAAGCATGCGTGCAGAGATGCCTTCTTCGTGGAGAGCCCTGTCTCAGGGCTCTTCGTGCCATTTGCCCAGTCCTCTCGCACGACTAGAACCTTGGTAATCGCAGGTACAGCCATCAGCCATACAGAAATCGAGTAATTAGGCTGTAGGCAGGCAGAACATTGGCTGGTTGCGCCTTTGCGGGGACTATAAGCTGTGACGGCCACGAGCCAGCTAAGCCTTAATTAAGTGTCTTGCCACCTGGCCGAAGGCCCATATAGGGATTGCATGAAGGATTGTATAAGGATTATGTCGCGTTTAGGGAAATGTTGCCCTCAAATAATGGAGAATCGATAACGGGCAAGAAATTGGACAGTGAGATGGATGCTGAGCTTACATTGCTTACATACGAGTTTAGGGTTTGGGTGGGGGGGGGGGGTTCAGACATGAAGGTCCCCTTCCTTGGGGTCCCACAGTAAGGATGATTATGTATGGGTGTCAATTTGAAATACACCTATTAAGGGACTTACGGGAAACTACCATATGATACCTTTTTGCGGCCCTACTCTCGAGACCGAGTGCACTAGGGCACCCAGGCCGAGACTGTAAAACCGCAGAGAACTCTGAACTCTTAACCCTAAACCCCAAACCCTTTTGCTGCAGGCTTGCTGGGTTCACACCTGGTCGTGCTCCACCACCTCGCCTCAAGAACCCTGATCTCATGTCAGGCTCCGAGGCTTAGCAAACCGTGCTGGTGACAGTTCGGTGAAGGTGCACACCATCTTGAAGGACGGATACGAGTATTCATGAAACTGTTCTAACTCTGGAGTGTACGCTTGCAAAGTGTCCGCATCCATGTAAACATCTAGGAGGATTCCACGAAAAACCAACTGCAACCATCCCAGCCAAGTCTTGCAAGCGTGCAGGAAAGTTCCTTGGTTGCTGTAAGTCTGCATCCCCTCAACCTCATCTAGCCAAGAAAACAGGATGGTAGCCTCAGCACCAAAGTGCAGCAGAACTCCCAACCGCCACGGCACTGCCACTCTGAAAATGTCTCGCCAGTTAGGTGCCAAATCCGCATGTACTATGGTATGACT